TGCCAAACACAAGCAAGCAAATATGACATGGAGAAAGTACAGCCAGAGTGGTCACTGAAGGCAAATATTATAAGGCTTTGTCTCCTATTTTAGACACGTTAGGAGAGGGACATCATGGAAAGGGACATCATGCTTGGAAAGATAGAAAGTCAGCAAAGAAAAGGAAGACCCCCAATGAGATGGATTGGTACAGAATCTGTGGCAATGGACCCAAATGTGTAGAGGATGATAAGGGAGGCAGAGTATAGAACAAAGTTCAGATCTATTGTTCACAGGGTCGCTGTGAGTTGTACTTGATGGCACTTAACAACAGTAACGAGAGAATATGAACCTGGGTTCAAATTATGATTTATTATTTGTTTGATGCTAAACAAGTCACTTAGCTTCTCACAGCCTCAGCCTCCCATTTCAAGTTTTTGTTGTGTGTCATCGAGTCAGTTGTGACTCAGAGCGACCCTCTATGTACAATAGCTCTGAACTCTGCCCTATCCTGAGCCAGTCTCACTGACTCCAATACAACTAACCCCCAATGCCCTACATATCCTGTCAATCCATCTCATCCCAGGTCTTCCTCTCCTGCGCTGTCCCCCCAACCTTTCAAGTATGATGTCCTTCTCCAAAGACTGATTCCCCCTGTCCACTGTTTCTCCAAGGAGAAACTTGGTTTCATCCTCTCCAAGACAGGTCTATTTGTTCTCCTGGCAGTCCATGGTTTGTTCAATACTTAATGAAATTGAACTCACAATATTTAGTGCAAGTACACCTTAACAAACACTCAACATATAATAATAATAATAATAATAGCCACTAACACTTATTAGATTTATGCCACTCTTTCAGGTGCTGGACACACAGGCATGAACAAGAAAAGGAGTATCCCATAATATCCATGGAAACCTTTAAATATACCTGAAAACCTTAAAGAGGACAATTCAATAGTGACAGGTATCATGAAAAAAGAAGATAGCAATATGATAGCTGACTGGAGCATGTGGGCGCCTGTGTTTGTGTGCTGCTTCAGATGTTGTGTCAAGGACTTCACCCCAAGGCAGAGATATTTGAACCGAGACCTGAATGACAAGGGAGATCCAACCGTGAAGAGTTGAAGGAACACCGTTTCAGACAGAAGATAGAGCTAATCAAATAAAAGGAAAAAAAAGAGCAGGGTAGAGACCAGGCTATTGTGTCTGGAGTGAGCTGAGGACAGTGGTGGTGGAAGTGAGGTGGGAGACATGGGCAGTCTAGGTCAGGCAGGGCCTTCAAGGTCATAAGGATGAATTCAGATTTTACTAGTATGTCACAGAGGGCTGTGAAGGTCACATGAATGAGTTAAGATTTTATTGTGAGAATAATGAGAAGCTGCCGGAAGAGTTCAAGCCTCGAATGACATTACTTGGTTTATATTTTTCTGTTGAGACTAGAGTGAAAGCAGAAGCTCTTTTGGTCAGATGGATATTCTGGAGATACAGACCATAGATGATGGCTTCTTGACTGTGGGGAGAGTGGAAATAAGAAAGGACAGGGCAGAGGTAGGGGTATTTGGTTCCAGTAGAGGGGGTGGTTATACTAGAGAAACAGATGACTCAAGAATGAGCCTAACTGTTTGATCTGAGCAACTGGGTAGATTTTCTGAGATGGAGAGGAATGGGCTTGGGAAAGAGAAATTAAACACTTTGCCAGAAAAGCTGAGATATATATAGCACACTGACAGCACCAAGTACACAGTGAGATTGGCAGAGAGAGACAAACTCCAAAATGGAGGGGAGGGTGTATGTGTGAGGGACAGGGAGAGTCCAATGAAAGAAGGGGTTTGAGCGAAGGTCTGAGCACGAGCAGGTGCAGTAACCTCATTTTCCAAATCTCTTTACTTACTAACAGCAGGAAATCGGAGACTAAGAGAGTTTAAGAAACTCACCCAAGGCCATGAAGCTATTGTTCACAAAAACCGCCTAGCTCTGTGCCACCCTCACAGTAACTGTTCTGCCTGAGCCATTGTTGTAGCCACTGTGTCAATCTATTCACTGAAGGTTTTCCTTTTTCTCTGATCCTCTCCTTTGCCAAGAATGATGATCTTCTCCAGGGATCTTTACTCTAAAGCAAAAGTGTTGAATGGTCGGACTGAGCATAGGTGGACAGAGTAGGAGACATGGGGACAGTAAAATATAAGATTTGGAGAGTGATTTGGGGCCAGACTGAACTGCCAGGAGTGCTAGGATGAACTGGGGTGTGTGTGTCTTCTTTTATAGTTGGACAACGATGAAAGATGACAAAGAATGGATGCCTTTGAGTTGTGGTGTTGGAGATCATTCAATATCCTATGGACTGCCAAAGGAGCAAATAAGTCTGTCTTGGAGAAAATGCAACCAGGGTGCTCCTTGGAAGCAAGAATGGTGAAACTTCATCTCCCAATACTTTGGACATGGTGCTTAGAGAAGGGCTGGAAAGGTGGTCAGCGTAGGAGAGGGAGACCCTCAACATGACGAACTAACACTGATTATAACAAGGGGCTCACATATAAGGGAAATGGTAAGGAATTAACAAGATAGAGTAAGGTTCAGATCTGTTGTTCATAGGGTCACTCTGAGTTGCAGTAGACCCAATGGCACTTAACAATAACAACTCCATAGGCATAGACAGAGGCTGCTGAATAGGAAACTAGTATGGTCAGTATTGGCTAGTTGGGCTGTACAAGATAGTACCTTGTAACACTAATGGTCCATTTAATAAAAACAAAACACAACAATGCTGTCAGGCACTATGCCCGGTACTGGAGATACATCTTATTATTGTGTACCATCAAATCAGAACTGCCTCATAGCTGACCCTCCAGTGGGTTTTCAGAGGCAGTAAGTCACACAGAAGGACAAGGCCCATCTTTCTCCCACAAAGCAGTTCCTTACCTCTAAGCCACCTAGTAAGTACTGTGAACAAAAACAGTCACAAATCTCTGTTCATGTGAGAGAACTTAACCAAATAAACAGAGACAGGTATACCCTGAATGATGTTTAAGGCCTTCCTGGAAGAAACATAGTACATAGTGCTGTAAGGTTAATTAACTAGTAAACAGGATTTGACCTACCATGGGAGACCATCTGTCCACCACCATTGAATGAATTGTGACAGTCAGTACACAATAGCCCCCAAAAGGCTTAAACATTTTTAAAAAACAAGTTTATTTTATTGTGTTTTGAATCAAAATTTTGAGAGCAGAGAGACATTGCATTCAACCGTCCACACACTGCAACAGAGCACTCCTCACTTCCACCCTATGGTTCTTGGTTCCATTCATCCTATACCCTCTCCCTTCTCGCCTTTTGAGCTTTGTCCTTTAGCAAATGATGACATTTTTATCATTAATTATTCCAAGGACTGAGTACTTCTCTACGGTTGTTGTTCACCTTATAAGCCTGTCTGTTGTTTGGCTGAAAGGTATTTCAGAGATTGAGTTCTGTTTCAAAACCTCTAAAGCCCAAAGTGCCCTACACCCCTCCAATTTCTATCAGACCAGTAAGCCTAGCCATTTTTATCACTAGTTTAGCTCTAGGAGATCTGGTGGCATAATCCGCAGGGAGCTTTGCTCCTGACCCAAAGACTCTAGCAGTTTAAGCCACAAGTAGCTCTGAGGGAGAAAGATGGGCAATCTCCTGCCACGCGAAACCCAATGGAGGGTCAGCTATGAGTTAGTCCCAACTCAGTGGCAATGATTTGGGTTGGTCCTACATTTATTTCTCACTTAATCTATTATGATTCCTATCAGAGAGGTCACCAGTAGTGGCCAAGCACAAGCTAATTCTGTTCTCGAATCCAGGAGGTTGAATTTCAAGAGGTACTGCTTCATTTTGTCTGTCGGAGTGGCTGGTGGGTTTGAACTGCCCCTCTCCTGTTTTCTTTTGTGAACAACCAAATGCTTTAACCACAGTGTCACCAGATCCAGTCAAGACTTATTTTCTGAGAATTGGGCATACATTAATATAGGTTTTAAGCCACACTCTGCCACTGACCACTTCAACCCAGGGCAAATTACTACTTCTCTGGTCCTCAATTTCCCCATATAGTTAGTGAAGCATCCCCCCCCCCCATGAACAACAGATCTAACCTGTGCCATCCTCATCATCTGACGCTCTCGAGCCCATTGTTAGTCATCATGCTGATCTGTCTTGTTGAGAGTATTCCTCTCTTTCACTGACCCTCCACCTTTCCAAGAACGATGTCTTTTTTCTAAAGATGGCCCCTCCTAACAACACACCTAATGAGATAGACTATGTTTCACCGTCCTTGCCTCTAAGGAGCACACTGGTTGCACTATTAGCATGTTCTTTTGGCAGTCTGTGGGATAGTCATACTCTTCTCCCAAACCACAGCTCAAAAGCGCTGATTTTTCTGTCATTCATCATCCAACTTTCAGCTACATAGAAAAGACCATTTTCCTACTAGTGAAACGGTTTGACATTTTCTCCAAATTAGTACCCCATCCCAGGCTACTAGTTAGCTCTGGGTGTCTGGACGTTAGAAAGCTTTGCTACCCGCCTCCATCTTGCACAAGAGCCCGCCATAGGTTCTCCGTTGTCATGGCAACCGCCAGGGCCCTCCCCGTTGCAGGAACGTAAAGTGACGACGGTAACCACGCTACTATCATGCGTCCCATTGCCAGGTTATAACATGGCAGCCGCAGCAACACCCCACCCAGACTTCTCACTAAACACGAGGACATGGCCAGCCATTGGGCCTACTTTACGTTATGAAAGGGAACAACAAGTGCTCCAGTACAACAAACAAAGTCTCCGGAAACCTCCACACACCCGCGAGCTCGAGGGGCTTCTCTGGAAGATCCCGACCCTCGTCTTGATGCGTCATATCCGCAGATAGACGGCCCCGTCCCCACTCCCGATTGGCAGTTACGGACATCCAGTCAGAAGCGAGCCCGCCCCCAGTTCCGTGCAATGGGCGGGCCGTAAAACAGGAAGATCCGCCCCTCACCGACAAGTGACAGTTGAGTCGCCATGTCCAGCTATCCGTACGGGCAGGTGAGTGTGTGAGGGCCCGTGGGACCTGACCGGAAACCCCCAGCTCTTCTTTCTCACCTCTTTTCTCCGTGCCCTTCCTATGTTGATTTTCACTTCAGCCGTCTTGCAGGGAAGAGATGGTGAAAGGGTCAGTCGCGCCTGTCAACGTCACGCAGGCCAAGCGTCTGGGAGGTCGCGTCGCACACCCTCTGACGTCGAGCACTCAACGATTTGGGTGCATTGGATCCCATAGTTCCAGGTTAGACCAAGCCTGGAACCTACATATTTCAGAGGCTTCTGCACTGGTGCCAGGCGAGGTCATCAGGACATTTAGAGCCCTGGTCCCGTCACTCTCATATTGGTATCGCATAAAAGGTTCAGGAGAACCTGTAGTTTTAGCAGACAAGTTATTTTAACTACCTTCTTGGTTCAGCAACCCCAGTTCGCACATAAAAAAACGTAAAATCCAGAGAATGAACAGAATGTATCTCAAGTCATTGGCCAGTTAAAGTGACAAAACTAAGTTCAGAACCTGGGGTGGCCTAGCAACACCCCTTCCCCACTTGCCAGCCCATCTCGACCCAGCCAAAAAGGTCATTTCTGTGGCAAGAAATTTGTTTGGTTAAATGCAGTTTCAGATCAGATGTAGGCTCAAACCTTGGCTCCACTCCTTAATTAGATTGGAACTTTTCAGTTTCCTCCTCTGTAAAATAAGCCCAATAGAGTCTACCTCCCAGAGCTGTTATGAATACTAATGAGATAAAGCTTGTAAGCATTTGATACATAGAATACAGTGTTACCATTTAGTTTCATTTTTACTAGCTTCCTGGAAGGCCAGTACTGAGAGGGCTCTCAGTTCTTCATTTTTCAGAGAAAGTGGAGCCTCAAGAGGGGCCCTAGTTGCCCAAGTAATGGTAATTTAGGAAATAAAAGACAGGAGAGGAAATTGAGAAAAGAACAGATGAACTATTACAAAGTTTCAGACTCTTTTGCTGGTTGTCCTGGAGTTGGCTTTGATCCATGTGTGCAGTTTAGTTGGAGCTCACCCAAAGTTGACCCTCCAGTGGGTTTTCAGATGCTGTTACTTGGCCCTCATTCTCTGCTGGAGCACCTGCTGGACTCAAACCGTATGTCTTGGAGTTGGCAGTGCAACTCCTTACCCTTAAGCTACCAGAGCTCTCTATGTACAATATCACACAATGCTTCTGGGCCCTACAGTGTCTTCACAATGTTTGGTAGTTTTGAGGCTATTATGAGGTCATTTGTGTAGTGCTTTTAGCCTGGGGGTGTGTGTGGGTTATCTTCCAGCACTATCACTCACTTCATGCCTTCAAGTCAGAACCACCTCATAGCTGCTCCTCCATTGGGTTTCTGAGACTGGAAATTGTATAGGAAGAGACTGCCTCTCTTTCTCCTGCAGAGCCGCTGGTGGCTTCAAACCACCAGAGACGCATGGCCTTTGCGTTAGCAGTACAACTCTCTATGGACTGCACGGGCAAGACTCCTTCCCAGCGCCAGTGACAGACAATATTCTGTTGTGATCCTCAGGATTTTCACTGCCTAATTCTGTCTTTGAGGTGGGTGATTAGAGTTCTCCACAAAGGCAAGATGGTGAAATTCGGTCTCACATACTTTGGGCATGTTGTCAGGTGAGGCCATTCCTTGGAAAAGAATGTCATGCTGGGAAAGGTAGAGGATCAGTGAAAGAAGCAAGCCTTACCACGATAGATTGACACAGTGACTGCAGCACTGTGAAGATGGCCCAGGAAAGGGCAAGGTTCTCTTCTCGTCTTTTCTTCATAGAGTTACTGCGAGTTGTAGCCAACCTGACAGCACCTAAAAACAACAGCATTTTCTAAAAGTAGATCACTAGGCCTTTCTTCCTCCTGTGCTTAGTCTAGAAGCTCTGTTGAAACCTGTTCACCATGAGTGACCCAGGTTGTATTTTAAATACTGGCAACATCGCTTCCAGTATCCTAACAACATGCAACAGTATGACAAATTGACAGATGAGTAATGATGACACGAGTATAATCATGTAGCAAGAATGCTTCAGGGGAGTGTATCCCTGTACCCAGAATTGGTACCTCTTTGTTCAGTCATGACCGCCTTGTAGGCATGCTAGTGCAAATTTGACCCTCAGTCTGCAATGGCGGCACATGCCCCAAAGAGGCTAAGTGACTTCCCAGTGCACACAGCAAATGAGAGTGGGTTCACTGGGGCCTAGAACTCCTTCTTTCACTGTACGTAGCAGTAGGGAGGAGAGAGGTTAGCATGACTGGGACTAGGGGAGAGTTTGACTTATTAGTGTTTCCCAGGTTCTGTTCCATTTGCTGTCTTATGAGCTGTTACTTGAAAAAAATAAAATAAAATTGGTATTTAAATACATTTGGGAAATTTGACTTTAAATATGTCTGAATAAGTTTGTTCACCCACCTTAAGACATTTCAGAATTCTTGATTTTCCTCTATACATTGTAAATTTGCCAGAGGGATAAAATATGGTTTATTTTTCAAACTTATTATATTAAATATACTTCAAACTTATTTAACCTTCCTCCTTTTTTTAAAAGAAAAAAAATTAATACTAGTTACCATTTCTGTGATATTAAAATTCCTGTGGAACCCAATTTGGGAAACCATTGCCATATTATAAAAAAGGCATTGCAGAGATTTATCTGACCTCTTCATGAAATTTCACAAGGTAGGAGGGGAATCATCAGTATTTATCCACAACTTATTCCTGTGAGGTAGAGGTCAAACACACCTTTACCCTGACACCTTCTTATAAATTCATACACCAGCCGTCCCTCCCAAGGCACTCTACTTTTCTGATAATTTGTTGCAGTGGACACCTGAAATGCATAGATAATATTCATGATGATTATGTCATTTATCAGCGAAGTTAAAAATCCCCAAAACTCGGTGCCGTGAAGTCTGAGCTGATTCATAGCTGACTTGTGTTTTCAGAGGCTGCAAATTGCCTGGGAAGAGATGGCTCATATTTCTCTTGCAGAACAGCTGTCAAATTTGAACCTTCTGTCTTTGGGTTGCCAGCACAATTCATTACTCATTAGGCCACCAGAGCTCCCCAATTAGAGAATTTAATGGTTTACAGTTAAGGATCAGGCATGACTTAGGATACAGCTCCTCCATCAGAACAGCTGCTCAGCCATGCTCACAGCCAGGTTTTTTGATGGCCTTCAGCCTCTTATCCCCTCAGTGTCTTGGGTTGGCATGGCCTCTGCCATCCCTGGGCAACTGTGACACAGCTTTCCGGCCCGGAGGCACCCCACTCTGCCCTAACTTCCACCTCAGAGTTACTCTGCTCTCTCATCCTCTGGGTCTGAGAGCCCACTGTCTCTTAAACACCTGGCCCCATTACCCTAGTCACTTGTGTCAATCCATCTCATCCAAAGTCATCCTTTCCTGCATTGTCTCTCCACACTTCCAAGCATGATGTCCTTCTCGAGGGTCCAGTCCCTCCAGGCAACATGCCCAAAGTATCTGAGATAGCACTTCAAAATCCCTGTTTCCAAGGAGCAACTTAGTTTCACCGCCTCTGAGACAGACCTGTTTGTTCTCTTGGCAGTCAATGGTATGTTCAATACTCTTCTCCAGTACTGTAGCTCAGAGGCACTGATTCTTCTTCTCTCATCCTTAGTCATCGTCCAGTTCTCTTATGCATAGCAAATAATTGCAAAGTTGAAGACCATGGCCTGGATCAGGGACACCTTAGTTTCCAGACTAACACTGTGGCTCTTTAGCACTCTGGAGAAATCCCTGACAGCATATACTCCCAGTGCATTTCATCTTTTGATTTCCTGACTGCTAGTGCCAAGAGTGTTGATTGTGTGGAACCAAGCAAGTTGAAATTTTTAACAATCTCAATCTACCATGATGCTGCCAACTGGCCAAGTGGTGAAAATCTTGTTTTCTTGATGTTGAGCTTCAGTCCTTGACCTTCTGCAGCAAATGTCTAGGATTAGATTCTTTATTAAACCTAACAAAGTGGTAAAGCAGGTCATTTCTCTTGTTAGAGTACCATATACCTTTTTTGCATAAACCCACTCCTACAAGAGTACAGTGCATGTTATAAGAGCACCTTATATGCACTGTTAGCAAGCTGTCCAAACCTCTTGATTCACCGTATGCACCTTATTTATATAGTCCCATCCATTCACTTGGTAAGTGTTATAAGTCCATAGCTAGAAAGGCCTTGTAAAAGTAAGTGACTGTATTGCAAGGCTGTGTTGTTTCAGAATACTATAGAAGTTTGTTAAGGACACACACAAATGTAGGGTCTATCTCAGATCTGTTCTATGCCAAAGAAGGGCCCATGAATCTGCATTTTAATAAGCTGTTTGAATAGTTTTTGTGCACCCTAGTAAAGTTGCCTGACTGAAGTGAGACTGAAAGGAAATAATAAAGGCTATAAGGAGCTAGAGAGGAGGAAAGACACACAAGTGTTGAGGACTCTCCTTCATAGGGTTGCTATGATTCACCTGGGTCTCGATGGCACTTAAAACCAAAACATCAACATAGAGAGAGAGATCAGCTGGCTCAGTAGACAGAAAAAGCGATGCTACCAAGGCAAAGGTGGGTGACTTTTAATCCACGGCCCTCGGGCCTGTCTTTCATTGTTTTTGTTCAGACATTTCTCTAGGTTGTATAGCCCTGGTGTACATGTTGCTGTACTGCGGTAACTTATGGTTGCTTTGAGGCTGAATACTGTGACACTGATGTGTCAAATGCATTAATGGTTGCTTACCCAATGCGGACAGAGAGTGAGGTGGAGCTCCCCAATTAAAACAAGCTTGAAAGGAGAAGTGGCATCCACTTCCATAATAGCTTGCCCCTGGAAACCCTATGAACCTGGAGAGAGGATGAGAGACACCCAAGTGTTGAGGACTCTCCTTCATAGGGTCGCTATGAGTCGCCTGTGACTCGACGGCACTTAACAACAACAACAGCAACAACATAAGGAGCTAAGTCCATTGCTAGTTCATGGGTTCAGCATGT